CTCTCGCTCTCTCTCTCTCTCTCTCTCTTTCTTTGTCTCTCTCCCTCTCTCGCTCTCTCCCGCTGCCTCTCTCCCTCTCTCTCTTTCTCTCGCCATCTCCACCGACCTGAAAAGTGCTGCCATGCTGGGTTTGCGTAGACCGTCAGAATGCCCGCACATGTACGCGATCTGTAGTCGGGATTCGCGCGGTGGCGATTGCATTGGGTTCAGTCGCCGCAAGCGAGAAGTGTCGTGTGATCCAACAGGGATTTCTCTCCGTGAGTCCGATGTGTGATAGGGAGTCTATGACGTTCGGGGCCATTTGATCGTGACGTTTGATTGGGCCGTGTGATGAAGGCACAGATTGCCTCTATGTCGCGCTCTCTCTCTCTCGCTATCTCTTTATCTCTCTTTCTGTCTTTTATCTTGTTCGTTTCACTGCGCTTATCTGTGTCGTTAGCACAAAGTTTGCGAACGTAACAAACAAGCGCAGATAAACGAACAAGACAGAACCAACAGCGTCGTGTTCCACCACCATCGTCGTCAGTTTTCTATCAGTGCCTCTATGTCGTTCGTCTTTTCCGTCGGCCTCCTTTCGCGAATCAAGTTCCATTGGCGACCACTCGCCCAGATCAGATGGCACACTCACACGTCCACGTGGCAGGTCCTGAACAAGCATGGGTTTGCGGATGGATGCGGGGCTCTATGCGGCAACAGAATATTGTCGAATAGAGCCCCGCACCCATCAGCGTGGCCACGCATGATCACGACTTGACACGTGGACGTGTGTGCCGTCGTGTTCTGCTACCATCTTTGTCCCCGTCGTTAGTTTGTCTTCAGCGCCCCTATTTCGTTCGTCTTATGCGTTGGCCTGTTTCTTTCGCGAACGTACCTCGGGGTGCGTTTGCGGATCTCGTTCCATTGGCGACCACTCGCCCCGATCAGATGGCACAGTCAAACGTCCACGTGTCAGTTCCTGAACAAGCGTGTGCACGCTGATGGATGTGAGGCTCTAAACGCTAGCAGACTGGATGCCAGGCTCCAATATAGCCCCGCACCCATCAGCGTGGCCACGCATGTTTAGGACATGACATGCGGACGTGTGAGTGTGCCATCTGATCGGGGCGAGATGAAGGAGTTTCGGGAGCAAGAATGCATGCGTTTCATTGGCGACCACTCGCACCGATCAAATGGCACACTCAGACGTCCACGTGTCACGTCCTGAACAAGCGTGGCCACGCTGATGGATGCGGGGCTCTATCTGATCGTCGCCACGCATGTTCAGGAGCTGTCACGTGGACATTTGAGTGTACCGTCTGATCGGGGCGAGTGGTCACCAATGAAACGGGACCCGCGAATGCAGCCCGAGAATGTTGCGACACGCACTTCGAGATTGTGTCGTCACTTCAGATGTTTTCTTGAAGTGTTACTCGCTTGTCGTCAATTTGTTGTCTCTCTCACGAAATGCGATATAAGGATTTCAGTCGTATGTTGTCGAACAAGAGAACATGGTTTCTCACGAGTCGTGTCTCACGAAATGCAAAGGATCTGCACATGGAGAGACAAAGAGCTAAAGACAGGCTCTCTCGCTGCGCATCCTCTCCTTGTCGATGTCTCTATCGATCTTAGTCTCCCTTCCGTGTCTATGCGGGTTTTTTCTGCCTTTCTCCAATCTTTGTGTATCGCAGACAGTTGCTCAACCGATCTCAGGTTGGTCCCCCCCCGAGTGCAATCACAGATCAGTAATCCGAAGACTGCTACGACAGATTCGAAGACACAGGAGGCGAATGTGAATTCAAATCTTTAAACCCTATCAAACCTCGCGTCAGCCGAACGCCGCGAGGAACCCTTCTGCTGACTTGGATACAGGACAGGACACGCAGCGATCAGATGCTCATAGGGTATTGTCGACAGCAACATGTTCAACCAACCCTTAGGACGACAACCCACCCTGTCCATACCATCTTGTGGTGGCGCAACAACTGACGTATCCGAGCCACCCTTGTTAATTTCGGATGTAGCCGAGTCACAACCCCCTAAAACTCACGGGGCGACCACTAACCGAGGCACCTCGGCGAAGTTCGAATTAATCAGAACCACACTGACGACAAATTGGATTTGTCACATGCTCAGACGGTATTTACGACGCCGCACGTTCCGATAAACGTGAACGACGAAATCACACGTGGTGAAAAGACCCTTCCGTCTCGGATTAATCCGAACCACACCTCCGACAAGATAGGGTCCAGCCTCTGCGCAGAGGTCATGGAGGAAAACACGCCTTGTCGATGTCCTCCTCTTGTGGTCGGCCTAATTCGGATGCATCCAAGTCACAACGTCGGTCTTTTGACTCTGCCCAGTTCGGATGTGTTCGAACTACCACGCTGTCTTCGTCTTCGACCATTTGCTCTGCGAAGGGCAGTCTCATGACGAGGGTCAACGATGCCTCGGATTCTTGCAACTAAAACGAGTCGAGATGGTTATGCTCGTTGGAAGAAAGACGAGCTAGAAACTTGTGCTGCAACTACAGCAAACGTGTCTGTTGTTTGGATTGGGCGAGTAACAACCAACTAAAACTCACGACGACGACGATATCCCCCGTGACGACGCACATATTATAATGACACACTACGGCAATCGCGGGGAGGTCTGGTGTGTGGTGGGGCGACAACAAAGCGAAGCGCCCCGGCGAAGTCGGATTAATCCGAACCACACCGGTGGCATTTTCGGATTTACCACATGCGCAGAGGGTATTGACGACGTCGCACGGTTTGATAAACTTGTACGTCGAAAGCACACGGTGTCGGCGCAGCCTGTCGTGGTCGCACGTATCGGGACARCCTCTGTCGAATYGGATAAATYCGAGYCACACCMSTCTTAAACACTCAAGGACGAAGACACACCGTGCGAAATTCGGTTGGATCCGACGACAGCTGGGGAAWAACRGAAGCTTGGATGGCTGGATGGGCGTCAACAGACYGYGGKGTCCATCCGCCGGTCCCTGTCTCGGATTAATCCGAGCCACATTTGCGAACTTCAGGTTCAACCGAACCGAACCTCCGGCAGGATAGGGTTAACCCAGTGCTCGCAGGTCGGTGAGGAAAACACGTGCTGTAGATGACCTCTTGTCAACGACCATCTCTGGACCTCGCTGTTCGAGTTCGGATGCATCCGAGTCACAACCGCTACCGACTCAGAAGGACAAGAAAACTCGAGTTCGGTTTCGTGCGGGCCGAGAGGGGGAGGTCCACAATGCTTTGGAGTTCGGATTCATCCGAACTACAACGGCGGACTTTACAATCCACTTGTCGACTTCGGATGGCAACGTATTCGTCTTCGTCTGCCGTATCAGCGTTCTAGGGCCTTCTTGCGAGGTGTTGCTTTTCCCGGTGCAGGTGCCTATGCGACATCGGTTTTTCGACTGCGCCTGCTTCGGATGTATCCGATGCTTCTCACGGTCTTCGTTTTCGACCATTCATTCTCTTAAGGGCAGATTGACGAGGATGGCTGACGATGCCTCGGATTCATCCGAAACACGCACATATTATAATGACACACTACGGCAATCGCGAGGAGGTCCGGTGTGTGGTGGGGCGACAACAAAGCGAAGCGCCCCGGCGAAGTTGGATTAATCCGAACCACACCGGTGGCATTTTCGGATTTACCACATGCGCAGAGGGTATTGACGACGTCACATGATTTGATAAACTTGTACGTCGAAAGCACACGGTGTATGCGCAGCCTCTCGTGGTCGCACGTATCGGGACAGCCTCTGTCGAATCGGATAAATCCGAGCCACACCCGTCTTAAACACTCAAGGACGAAGACACACTGTGCGAAATCCGGTTGGATCCGACAATAGCTGGGGAATAACGGAAGCTTGGATGGCTGGATGGGCGTCAACAGACCGTGGTGTCCATCCGCCAGTCCCTGTCTCGGATTAATCCGAGCTACATTTGCAAACTTCAGGTTCAACTGAACCGAACCTCTCGCAGGATAGGGTTAACCCAGTGCTCGCAAGTCGGTGACGAAAACACGTGCTGTAGATGACCTCTTGTCGACGACCGTCTCTGGACCTCGCTGTTCGAGTTCGGATGCATCCGAGTCACAACCGCTACCGACTCAGAAGGACAAGAAAACTCGAGTCCGGTTTCGTGCGGGCCGAGAGGGGGAGGTCCACACCGCTTTGGATCTCGGATTCATCCGAACTACAACGGCGGACTTTACAATCCACTTGTCGACTTCGGATGACAACGTATTCGTCTTCGTCTGCCGTATCAGCGTTCTAGGGCCTTCTTGCGAGGTGTTGCTTTTCCCGGTGCTGGTGCCTATGCGACATCAGTTTTTTGACTGCGCCTGCTTCGGATGTATCCGATGCTTCCCACGGTCTTCGTTTTTGACCATTCATTCTCTTAAGGGCAGTGTGACGAGGATGGCTGACGATGCCTCGGATTCATCCGAAACATGCAGGCTTGTGGACCACTGTCGTCTAACTATGACTGAACTTCGCTCTTTTGGAGTCCGGGTGAGCGATAACAGAATACGTGTTGTGGGTCGTGGTTGATTTTGGGACGTGCTGACTGTTCTGAGTGGTTGTGGGTTTATTTCCTCCGTGTGTTTCAGGGAATGGCTTCACACGGACGAGGCCGCTCCGCTGGTGGTTCCGCCCCACATGGAGAGGAGCGTCGAGGGACGACGTCGTCGCCAGCAAGGGAAACGAGTCGCGGAGTTGGAGGTGGGGAGGAAAAACGACGTGCTCAAAACTTGTGGTGCGACTACAGCAAACGTGTCTGGTATTTGGACTGGGCGAGCCAAGACGGCTCCAACCCGTTGCAACCACCGTGCGGGCCGCTCTTGTTCGTCGCCGTTCGCGCCGATAGAACGCGTCTCGCAGGGTCCATCGTCCAGTGGGTCGTCGATGACGAATACAATTTCAAGTTTTCGTTGAAGAAGCATTACAGAAGTGATGGTTCTGTCGACGGCATCGCAAAGGGATGCAAGGTTGCCGGGAGGATGTTCGGTGGGTACGGTCGTCGTGCGATGTCTTTGCCTCACTTTCTCCCGCTAGCGCCGGGGCATGACGAGGCCGTTCACGTCACAGACTTCCTCGAAGTCTGGACGAAATCTGGTACCTCTGTCAGTGCCATGGACGTCGGACCTGGAACATCGATCAGTGGTCCTGTTGGGTTCGCGGGAGGAGAGTGCTCTGAAAGGGAGATGGGAGGTCAGGGTGGCTTGCCAGCTACGCCTCCTGATCAAGAGGTGGGCATGTCAGACGACTCGGAGGACGACCATCCGCATGCTCCTTTGAAACCGGGCTTGCATGTATCTCGCCGCCACGGTTTGCTTGGGGAGTCGACGTCACATGGAGGCGGCGATGGCGAACGGTTGCGACAGGGCTCAGAATCGACGACTCCTCGTGGTCTGGTCGAAAGGATCCGTTCGTTCGTTCGTGGCATGCAGGTGGCCGAGGTTTCGCCTGGAGATCGAGCGGGTGGTCCGCAGGTTCGAGAGGTGCGTGGGTCAGCTGAGACGACTCGCCAGGCCCGACCAGCGTCGGGGGAACTGCAGACGGAGTTGAGCCAGGGACGAGAAGCAAGTGGGAACGTCACCGGTGAGGAGGATGTGTCCGAGCAGGGGCTGTTCCGTGAGAGATCTGCTGAAAAGACTCAGTCGGGAGGCAAGCGCAACTTGCCGGATGAGGAAGAGCGAGAGGGACTAGGTGCTCTGAAAAGCTTGAGAAAGGTAGGAGGGAGTGCTCGGATGCCAACAACACGAGAGGGCGGTTCCGTTGAGAAGAGGAAAAGGGTTGGAGGTGGGGATGAAACGCCAAAAGACTCGTCGACACAGCGAAGAACCGGTGAGTCTTCCGGGAAAAGGGCGAAATCATCGAGAGGGAAGAACGCAGACGAGGGCGACAATGGGGAGGGGGATGACGTCGCGGAGATTCAACGCCTTTAACCTCGACAATGCGTTCTTCCTCTAGATGCAGACAGGGGTGCAGAAGGACGTCGTGTTGCACATCCATCCCGAAAGAATATTAGCTATTCCAGATTGGGAAGACGCTTACAACCACCGATCGTTGGACGAGTTCCTCGTTGATACTATCGCGTCGGTTATGATCGACTGCTACGAACGTAAAGACATGAGATACACGAAGCCCATTTTCGTTCTCGCTCCGATCGTCGCGCCTCCAGCGAACGGCGAGCCTGCTGTGCGCGTGCTGCCTGCTGACTTCGACAGCTCACACCCGAAGAAATACTGGTATTATCTTGTGTGTGGACAGCATAACGCGAGGGCGGCGATGATGGTGAAAGACCATCCCGTGTTTGATTACTACAACTTCTGTAAATGGCCGTTCAGACCTTCCCTGACGACGAGTTTGACGGCTACGCCCATGTCAGCTGCGAAGACGACATGAAAGACAAGAAGAATCCACCGCGCTTGCAGGTTTTATCTATGCGGGACATTCGCAATTTATGGAAAATTAAGGGCAAACCTCGTGTGGTGATCGGCAATGCGTCGAAGAAAAAGGACGAGGTGCAAAAGTGGGTGCAGTTCATGGCGTTGGCTATGAAGAAGACACCGTACACGCCCATCTGGAACCTGTCGATGGAAGCAAAGAAAAGAAAGGAATGGGCTGAGAAACTTCGATACTACCTCCCGCTGGCCATGGCAGATGACTCCATCTTCGCTTTGGGGTTGAAGTTCTATGAGGAGTGGTCGAAAGGGAAACTCCTTGCTTCCGACGGCCGGCGTTGGACTGAAAAGCCGCCCACCCATGAGGAGGTAGCCAAGCCAGGACTCTCCACTGTGACTGACAGCCAGGGGCTGAAGAAACACGTCTGGTACGTGAAGGTGGACGACCCATCGTTGAAAAAGGGCAGGGGGAAGCCAAAGAAAGGCGCGGAGGAGAAAACTTTCTACGTCCAAGTTCCAGAGTCGGATGTCCACTGCTGGAAGGAATTGGTGGACTTGACAGACCGCGAGAAGAAAAGGCTGTTGAACGGCGTCTTGAACCTTAACGTCGTGTGGGTTCAAACGAGTAGCAAGAAGTTGGCCGAGCAGGGGAAGTTCAGTGTCAAGGAGATGGTCGACATAATAAAAATGGACCGGATTATGCTGAGGCTGTGGCACTACGTGGAGTTCGAGTTCGAGGAAATGGATAAGCAGGAGTGGAATGCCAACTCCATGTTCTTCAGGTCCAAGAGGCAAGGTCTCGAAGACAAGCTTTGGAACGAGAGCAGGAAATTTTTCACGGACACCACATACGTCAACAAGTGCCCACAGTTTCTCGGGTGTCAACACGACAACAACATCAAGAGAACGGCGGCCCTCGTCAACGACCAGCATTTCCCGGCGGAGTGGAAGCGTGTCGTCCTTTCGGTGATCACTGGAGATCGCGCCAAAGGCAAAAAAAGCCCTTGGGGCGTTGATGAATGCATCAACATTATGTGGACAAGGACAAGCGCCTTGAGGACGCTGGCCCTGTTTAACGTCGACCCATTGACTGTCATAGATCATAAGGAGGCGCTGGGAAAACTAGGGCATCAGCTACGCTCCCACACTTGCGTGCTCGACTTGTGCGGTACGGTGGACCGTGCGCAATGGGACTCTGCGGCATTCGCGTCTCTGAGTGAGTTGCTGGGCTTCGTTTGTCAAGACTACTGGACATTGGTGGTATTCGTCCCCTGTCTGTAGAACCTCTCCTTCATGACATGTTTGTCTGCGTTTGGGGCTACCCGATGCTATACGGGGAAGTGGGTTCGGAAGACGGCATCGAAGAAGATGCATCAGTTCGGAAACAGCGTCTGGGAGGAGCCGGATGTGATGCACATCCTTTTCAAAGGCGAGGATCCTCGGCTAATCACTCACCCGGTGTACGAGGGAGCTGTTGCTGAAGACGGCGCCGCCGCTCTCCGGAGGAAACAGAAAGTGACACCCACGGATGTGAAGGAGAAGTCTTTCAAGTCTTTGACTTTCGCGGACATCGGAAACCTGACCCGGAGGGGGGCTCTGTACAAGGACGGCGAGAGGAATCCGAATCGGTTGTGCAATCAGCTTCTTTTCTTTTGTGGTGTGGCGGATGCCGTGCTGTTCTTGGGCAAGCCGCACGCGCAGGTGGTCTGGAGTCTGCTTCAGCAGGGAAGGCACGTCTTGGTCGTGGATGGGGACACAACGCAGCTCGAATACACCGTGCAATATGTCACCCATGAAGTGTCGTCCAAGGCTTACCCATGCGATTTCCACCATGTCGTGGTCGAGCCCGTTTATGACATGAACAAGGACATGTTCTTCAAGTTGACTCCGAATAAAAGGCGCCAGGTCTACTCCTTCCTTTACGGCGAACAACCAAGGTTGAGATTTGACCCGCAGTACGTGGTGCGGAAGGAAGTCGCCATTGCGGTCCTCCATGGCTACCACGGAGCGAGTCGGGCCGGCGCTGTGAGCTTCATTAAGAGGCTGGAATATGTCTTTTTTAACGAGGATGTTGTCGATCCGGCCGACTTCACTTTGGATAAGTAAAAGTTGGCATTTGGTGAGGAGGACGACTTCAATATCGAGACTGAGCAGGAGGAGAGCGTTGAGGATGACCTCTTCGATTTGGACGGGCAATTGGCCATCTTCAACGCCCAAGTTTCAGAGTCGCCATCAGTATGCAAATCGGGGACACCTCTCGCTACACCTACCTCGGGCGGTGCCACGCCCGTGTCCTCCTCAGCGCCTGTCAAGAGGGGTGGGTTGTCTCGTCTGAGGAGTTCGCCGGGGGAGCCTACTCGTCTCACGCCGCAGCCCGAACGTCTTCGACCCGGCCATCCAGTTCCTCCGGACCATCCGCATCTCAAGGCTCCTGCGACTCCCTTCCACATGGGCGGCAAACACACCTTCTCCACAGCTGAAGATTGGGGCCATGATATCGTGTGGCACCCAGACCATTTCCAGCCAGTCCTTCTCGACGGCGAATGGGYAGTGGCTGTGAGGGACGTAAGTGGAGGGTGGATATATGACGATCGTTGGGACCTCGAGACATTCAAATCTCGCGCCTACAATGCGGTATTGGAGAGATTAAGTGAGGTCAATCGACGAAATAAGGAAGACCCTGCTCTTCGCGAATATGGGGACACGCTGTTCGAGTTCTTGCAGTCAAATAAATGGCTGGAAGTGTCCTCCGCGTTCTACGCCCTTCCGTCAAGCTCGTCAATTAAGCAAGTGAGTTGGGAGTTGCCTGGGGTCACCCCGCCGGCAGGAGTTGTGAAGCGCAAGTCTCGCGGAAAGGAAGGCGACGGGGATGGTGAAGGCAGCGGGCAACGAGGTACCGGAGGTGGAAGTGAACATCGTTCGACGAAACAGCGGTCTCCGGAGCACGCAGGCGGCGGAGAGGGGAAAAAGGGCAGCCGGGAGAAGAAGAAGCCTCGCAGCAGAGAGAAGACAAAGCATCACAGAGGAGACGGACAGGGGTTCGATATCGACCGCGACGAGGACGGTGGGGTTTTGGCGGTAACAGGCAGCACCTCAATGGAGACGGGGAACGACTTGAGGCCTGGGTGTATTACGCGGCCTGGCGAGCAGGACCCTGTGATTAGCTCCACGAGCGAAACACAGTTTGTCAATGCGGTTGGCGGGGCGGGTGTTGCAAAGCATGGACCATGCTTCGCTCAACTCCAAAAACGGTTGGCGGATTGTCTCGGATCAATTCGAACCTCGGAGACGACCTCGTTGTCCGGAACTCAGTGCCCTTCGGGAAGCGAGACGACAACATACCACGGGTCCGGCAGTGACAAACTGGAACCGTGTTCCGTTTCGCTTCAAAAGGAATTTTGGATTAATCCAAAACGCGAAGGTTGTGCCATCGAGGGAGCACAGCTATCTACAGAACTCGAACGGGTGGTCCGGGTTTCCGAAAACCCTGGCGACGAGATTCGGATTCATCCGAACCAAGAAGTCGTGTCTGCCATGACAGACGATCGATGTCAGGATGCAGTAATGTTGTGCGTGGAAGCCCACAAGGAGCTGCAGGAGGACTGTCGGACTGAGGGTGAGTTGGGGACCAGTTCCAATGTCGAGCCCAACACACTCGGAGCCGAGTAAGCAGTCGTAGCGACTCCCCGGTGAAAGCGGTCATGTCGGCGTCATTGGAAATTGCGGGGGTTCGGATGAATCCGAACCACGGCCCTGTGAACATCTCCCTCCCTGATGCATCTTTCGAGACGACTGTGATTCGGATTCATCTGAGGCACACGGACGAAGGACTTCAACTGCCAGGCATTGAGGGTTGTCGACTGCTGACGACTTTGGGCAAGGACAATTCCGCCGACGACCGGATTGATCCGACACTCAGCGACGTCGGGATGGAGGTACCAGTTCAGCCGGGATACGAGGATCCCTTATACTCCGCCCTTCACAACGAGGCGATGGGGGAGGACGTTCTGAAGAAAGCCTCTGACGCTGTTGGAGATAGATGTCTCTATTTGAGTGACGATGACAAAGACACAGCGTACGGGGACAAGAAGTTAAAGGGGGGAGAGGTGTTGTTGGACATCCATGGGACATTGAGCCCAACACAATACGACACAGTGGCAATGGAGAAAACACAACCTGTCGCTGTTGTGGACGTCGACGATGTTTGTCCTGAGACGAATATACCGTATATGGTCACCGACGCCGACATCTCGAGCCTGTCAAGTTTGCCTGTGGGTTTGGAGCACGTCGTCGCCGCGTCGACGCTCGCAGGGGTGCCAATCGTGCTGGGACTGTCGTCGGTGGGCTCTGGTGAAGTGGTAGCTAGGCCTGGTAAGCACTGACTTTCTCTGCTTTCTTCACGCTCGTCAGCCCGTTCGTGAAGTGTTGTTCGCTTCGTCGATTTCGGGGAGGTGTACAGGCGGCCGCCAACTGGATTGTGACGATGTGCTACGTGAGGTGCTGTTTGCTTGGTTGCTCTTGCGAACTTGTATTGTTGATCTCCTGCTGAACTGTCTGGGTGGCTATTTCTTGTACAGGTCGACGAACTCGTGGACAAACACCCATGTCGCAGGAGCCGCCTGCCCTCGCCAGGTTGTCAGTCCTGGTTGCGGGAGGCACTGGTCGTCGCAATGTCACTGATGCGTTTCCTGGGGACACTAAGCCTCCAGGCCCTCCCAGAAGGGTAGTCGTGCCCGTATTGGGCTCCCGTGCAAGACTCGTTGCAAAGACAGCGGGTGTTGCCAAAAAGGACTGCAAGGAATTCCTTCTCGAGGCTTGCAGGGATATAAAGGACAGTGCTAGTTTAGAATCAACTGTGTGTAGAAGGTCCAGAAGTAGGGGTGACGTTATGCGTGAACTTTTCGGACCATAGAGTAGCGGTTCCTCGGACCATGGCCGCTAGGACGGCATTTTCTCATAGTGCCCCGTCCTTTGTGCTTGCTGCGGGTGTTTGTTGAACAGGGTTTCCTCGAGATGGAAGAGCGGTTCTTGAAGACGTTATCTGCTCCCGGTTGCCGCTCACTACCATCGTCGCGCGTTTGCCGTCGCACAGTTTATAGGTATCCGTCAAGGACATCGTCGCACTCGTGGATAGATCCGAGGAGCTCAACGATGAGGTTGTCAATTTCTACATGGCGATGCTACTGGACGACTGCAGCCGGACTGCCGCTACCATGAAGACATACACCTTTAACTCCTTCTTCGCCTCTTCACTGCTTCTGCGAGGTCCGGCAGCTGTTCTCACATGGGCTAAAGATGTCGACCTCCTGTCTCATGACCTCGTCTTGGCACCAGTGCACAAGGACGGTGAACACAAGAGCCTTTTGGTCATTGACTTCTCTAGACGTGTTTTGAAAATGTATGATTCTTTCTCGTGTTCGTCATCCAAAGATTCCTTCTACTCCGCACTTCTGGATAAAACTGTTAAGTTTTTGAACACGGTGGCAGGTGCCGCCGGTGATGGTCGCACTTTCGACCACTTCGCTCGCGAGGTCAGCGTGAAAGGTGTTCCTCGGCAGCACGACGGGGCTAGTTGTGGGGTGTTCATGTTGATGTTCGCTTTCTGTTTGGCGAGAGGTTTACGTCCACCTTTTGGTTTCTCCCATAGACACATCTCCTGTATTAGAGCTAGACTAGCTTTGGCGATTTGCGATGTTGGTAGGTTAGCGTCTATCTCTTTGTTGATCATGTAGTGTAGAAGGGTTGACGTAGAAGAATATTTCGTTCTTCTCCGGACGAAATTTGTTCCTTTTCATTTTTTCCGTGAGGGACTGGTGGGTGTTCTCGGCTTGGTTCAGAGCAGAACTAGCTGTCACTGCCAGGAAATCTCCGGGTGAACTTGTCATGTCCTCGGCGTGTTTGGCGTCGACAATATTGTTCTTTCTCATTGGATTTCAATTATCACGAACGTCCCCGTTATTGGAGCGCCTATTTCGTGATTGAATATCTCGCTTTCGTCATTTTGTGCCTTGTGTGGTGTGATATCCTGCCCGCATACTCGGATGCATCCGGACTCAAACTAACTCTATGTTTTTCTGCCTCTCTCCCGAACCTTCCCCGTCGTCTACACTCATCTATGCATTTTCACTTTGAATGTTGTGAGGCGTCACAGAGAACAAAATACAACACACGGGCCTCTTTATACATTTGATGACCCGTCTGGCCCTCCGTACTGTGTGCTTTGTGATTCCGACATTGAATGCTGTCAATTCTTTGGCCCGGCAAAGCTCCCCTTCTCTACGATCATTCATACATTCGGTTCCTATGCATTACCCAATACAATGAAAAATTTGAATGTGCCGAGAGGGAAAACCCAAAAGGCGATGCCAATGGCTGCTCGAATGTGACGAGATTTGAATTAAGGTGGCGCGGCTGAAAATACAATTGCATGATTGGACAAAATTGGATGTGGTGACGGAAGGATAAATCACAATGCGAAGCCGATTGGTACTACAAAGTGACACAAACTGAATTGAGCTGGCACTCATAAACAAATGACCATTGTATGATTGGTGAACGCTTCAATTTCCAAAAAACGAATTCAAGAATCAGCTCTCTCTCTCTCTCTCTCTCTCTCTCTCTCTCTCTCTCTCTCTCTCTCTCT